AATTGATATACTAAGAATATACTTACATAGTAAACTGTTTCTTGAGTGTCAACGAACCCACGATGTATAAACATCGCGCTCATAATCATATCACGCTCACGTATAGTTGTATTGACTCCTTGTCCTATGAATATTCAAATCAATATTAATACATAATTATTCGCGTGATAAACCACATTTAGCACATTGATAGGGCTATGGGCATATGTGGCAAGTTTATGTACAGTGCGGTAAGATCGGTTGTATGTGTAGAGTCTCAGAGAGAATGTACATTCTGCCTGAGATGCAAGATGCTGGTCACCTCCTCAACAGTTTGCATAATCCTTCAGCGCCAATTACAGTAGTCTTGATTCAACAAAAAAAAATTATTGTGAAGAGATCTGGGCCAATACATGGAGCTTTTATAAAATAGAATTCGACATTGTGAACCTTGGATAACAGCATAGTAAGCTATGGTCAAGTGTTAGTTCGCAATATATGTATAATGTCGAGAGGCTTATCAAAAAGTGCAATTATTTGGGTTTGGAGGAGACATATTGTTGGTTATGTCAAACACCACTTTAGTGGAGTTAGAAAACTTGGCGTGAATGAATGGTGTCATCTTATGGTAAATACATCCATAATGAAAAGAGGGCATGGGTGTAATTTAACGACCTCTGGTAACTGAATGATGCTCCGTAATTGTATGGTATGAGCAACTTGATGCATGTGCACAATGATAATAAAAAAACTACAAAATGTATTCGGCTTCGATATGGTCGAAATAAGCATTGCAGACCACAACTCATGCACTCTACTTGATGTATGTTTGCTATGAGATTAGTGCTTGAAAGATTTTGTTGGAGTCTAGCGTTAAATAAGTATGGATCAACAAAGGGCATCATAGATGAATTGTCAGTTTGAGTTGGATGCCTCTTAAAGCATGCGATATAGGGTGAACTGCACGGCACATAGTAGGGACCCGCAATAGTGCCAATCAAGATGGGTCTATCATTATGAATTCAAGCAGGCGAGTAAATCATTGAATGAGGACTTCAAGAACCTCGTCACTATATCATCTATTCGAATGATAAGATAGACGATAAGCATCCAGGTGAGATGATATAGTTAAAGTTGATAAACCTTTGAGGGTTATGAATCCTCCCCAGTCACGGAGTCACGGTCGCTGCAGTCACGACCTCAGCTTCATGTCATGGGCACAACCTAGCAGTCATGACCACGGCCTCGACGATTTTAGCACTGTGTTGTGGCCAGAGAGGGAGGTGTTGGGGGGGGGGGTTGCGGATTGGGATTCTGCAACCCCAACCCTACCCCGTAGAGGAAAGAGTAAAAACAAATGATTTTCAAAGGGGAGGGGGGGGCGGGGAGGAGAATCTTGATTTCTTGATTAATTGATTGATTTTATATATTTGATTGAAAGATTCATTGATTTTTTGATTGATTGACTGATTGATTGAGTTTTCTTATTATTGATTGATTGATTGATTAATTGATTGGTGGGGGAGCGGCCCCCCCTCCCCCCCCCTGGCTCACGTACCCACACACACACACGAGTTAAAGACCCACTGTTTTATATATATATATACTTTTTAACTTTTGTTATTTGATTGATTGATTGATGGATTGATTGGTGGGGTAAGGGTCTTCCGACCCTCCACCACCCTGCCGCACACACACACACACACACACACACACACACACACACACACACACACACATACAGTCACACGGGAACCCGCTTTTTTTTTTTTGATTGATTAATTAATTGATTGATTGATTGATCGGCAGGGGAGAGGTCTCCCAAGCCCCCCCCCCTCTGTGCGCACACACACACAAACACACACACAGACACACACACACACACACACACACACACACACACACACACACACACACACACAAACACNACACACACACACACACACACACACACACACACACACACACACACACACACACAAACACGCACACAAACATGCTTTGTGTGTGTGTCAAAAACGAATAAAAGAAAAGAAAAAAAACAAAAACGTCTTGTTTTTTTTTTCATTATGATCTTTTCCCCCTTTTATCTTTGCATCTGTTGTAAAAAAAAGAATCAAAGAAATATGTGCACCATATTTCTCCTACCACCAATCAGAAAAAAAAGAAAAAATAAATTCCTTTTTTTTAATTCCGTTTCTTAACTTTCTTTGGATTAGAATACTTGTTTTTTTGTTTTCTATTAAAAAAGAAAAACGTGGAAATCTAGAAAACAAAAATATGGGGATGTAGGGTCTGAAACCCTACAACCCCATTTTCATTTTCATTTTTATTTTTATTTTCATTTTTATTTTTGGTCTGTATTCTGTGTGTCAATATGACAATTTCGTGGTCGCGGCCGACTGCCGGGGATGTGGCCGGCGGCCGGGATCTCGATCTCAATCCGAGTTTGACCCTGCGGTCATGACCGCAGGGGATTCAGAGCTCGAGGGTATAGGGTGATCAAGTGGAGGACATAAACCCTTCACAAGGTAGCTGCACCCTTGAGCAGTTCGAGGTTGACAGAGTCATTTGAATTTAGGTAAAGTCAAGACTCTACACACTCCAAGGGCCGAATACCGAGGTGAAAGGGTGGTGGTTGTGCCATGGTGTGATAAAGATGGCAGTGACGTAAGTGATAGGTCTAGGAAGAAGAGTAAGAATATCACTGTTGTTGTAGGTTGTAGTTAGGCAAACATTGATAGAGCATTCGTTCTTAGGTCAATAACACTGAATGCGGCTCTTATGAATGCCCCTTAATTATAGCTTAAGACTGTTTGTATAGGCTAGAGTATAGTATCACTGAATGCAGCTCTTATCAATGCACCCCCTTAATTATAGCTTAGACGATCCGCATAGGCTACAGTTGACGCATGGTGGAGTGAGAGAAGTCAATTTTTGAACCAGCACCCCGCGACATAAAGACAGGTGTTCCAATCATGATGTTTAACTCAGTCTATCCAATTAGTCCATCCCACATAGCGGCGACAAGAGGGAAAATGAAGAGAATTACTGTGAAAGGCATCATAGTGAGGAGAGGAAGATATTCGTTCAATTTCATTGTGCTATGCCATTTGCAAAACAATATGGAAGAAGTCTCCTTTTTTTCCTTTTTTTTTTTTTCTTACCCGTCGAATCTGGACAGGATGGCCTTTCAGGCCTTCGTCCCTGTCATTATAGTATTATGGGGAACCGCGTGGCAGGCACATCTATGCTCAAGCCTTGAACGAGGAGTTGCACCAACCAGCAGCTATACCTGCTACGAACATGCAGGACCCGAAGGTCCTGAACCCACCAGCAGGTGCGATAGCTCTAGATGGCAGGCGCCGCAGTGAGCCCACGTCCTCATGGATCCCACTTGCGTGCCATATCAACTGAGCTAGGCCGGTAGATTTCTCCTGTGTTTCTTTTTTTTTATTTATACCGTGTATTTCTAACACGTGTAAAAAAACCTTGTCGAAATCCAGAACATGCTGTAGCCTGTAGGATTTGAAAAAAAAGACATGGTTGTGAAGTTAGGACCAGTAAGCAACCACACCGGAGATGAAAGGTGACATTATGGTTCAGGGTTCCCGCCCATCGAGCCACATGGGCTCGGCAAGGGGGAGTTGCTGGTATCCCGATCTCCTGGCACTCAGCGGAGTCAGCACTACGTTTCGTAGCAATGATGTGGCTTATACGCCTCCACCTGTATGTGTGCTCACTGCTCAGTTCCTCAGGGCAACTTACCATGTCGAGCGCAATGAGATTGGCCATTGCCGTAGGGAGGAGGTGTCAGACCGTCACAAGGAACTATGTAGAACGCTTATGACAGAAGAAAATCTTTCTGCGGGGTGAGTGGGGAGGAGTACTCCGCATTTTCATGAGAATGGATTCCTTACCTTTTCCCAAAAAAAAAAAAAAAAAAAAAAAGTACTCCGCATATAGGTCTCAGACACATTGGGTAAATCATTAACCGCACTCTTTATGAGGAAGGAAAGAGAAAAAAACTGCGATAAACTCCACAACAGGACTTGGGGACATGCAAGAAACGAGAAGGTACGCCATATCAATAAGCGAAGAACGTTAACACAGCTAGGTGCACTCAATTCAATTTGCAATTGCGACTCTTCGAACTTACAGCATCAAGCGAGATAAGGAAGTTCAGTCATCGCTATACTCCTGGATCGTGAAGCGGGCCCCGACTGACGCACCCCATTGGGCCGGCCAGGCCCAAGAGAAACCGACGGTTGGGGGTACCGTTGGGGCCCGCTTCACGCTCCAGGTCAAACAAGTCCTCCACTTCACTCCCCCCCCCTTCTTCCTTCGTCACGCCTCGTCATTTCATATCCGTTAGTGTTGTACTTGTGTTGTTCGTGTGTGCATTTTCTTTCGTGGTCACTGGGCGCTCCAGAGTTCATAGTCTCCTAGCACGCGCCCTTGTCGCCCAATGTTCGAGTACATGTACATAGAAAACAAGCCCTACTCACAAACGGGCAAGATGAGTATGAATCTTTGGTTAGAACATGTAAGGGTACAACGCCATATTTCCCCTCCATTCCGACTCACAGCAACCATGCTCTCTCTCTCTCTCTCTCGCTCTCTCTCTCTCTCTCTCTCTCTCTCTCTCTCTCTCATCCTCACGTACATACCACGCATTTCTATCCTCAATCTGCACATCGCCACCCAGATCCAAACTCGCGCCAACCGCGGATGTGCTGTCCTCTGTCGAGACTCTCTCTCTCTCTCTCTCTCTCTCTCTCTCTCTCTCTCTCTCTCTCTCTCTCTCTCTCTCTCTCTCTCGAGGATGTATCATTCGTACTGGAAAACCGGACGCGGTTTCCAGGAGGTACAGCTCCCCACCAATCGACAGGAGAAGCCGGAGGCAAGGCTACTAGGGTGGGGTACTCTTATCACACTCCGTTGCAGGCGGCACAAATTAAAAAAAAAGGAAAAAAAAAGAAAAGGGTTCTCCATCAAGAGAGGTCCGACAGGGCTGCTCGCTCAGTCAAGCTCTTCGCAGGTCACGCCTCCAACGCGTCATCCAAGTCTCTTCCCTCTTCACAAAGAACATCGCATTGATGACTATTGAGAGCATCCGCCAGCTGCCAATCAATCAGATCATCCAGCTGAGGATCAGGTCCCTCCTCAAGCTCCCACACCATATTCAACATGCGTTTCATCACGTCCAGCTGCAAGTTGGCCAACAAAATCGCCCCCAAGTAAACTTGGTGCACCGAATTCGTCGCCGTGCAATGACATGCAAAATCACAGACTGCGAGCGTTGCTATTTTCCAAGTTTTGCCGCTGGATTGTGTGACGTGCTGAGATTCCCACGTTCTGCTGATATTTTCTAAGTCTCTGTGTGTGTGCTTGCTTGCTGAGTTCTTGTGTGGTTGCCTGATTGCATGATTGCTTGGGAGTCTGTATAACCCGGCAGGGTACTTGTATGCTGGAAAGGTCACCCCAGCTGGTACTTACCTGTGGCTGTGGTTCTCCATGTACGCACCTCCAGTACACAACAGATGCGAAGGGGGAGGAGACCCCCGATAAGCGTCCAAAAAGCGGAAGAAGAGAGACAAGGGGAGAGAGAGAGAGAGAGAGAGAGAGAGAGAGAGAGAGAGAGA